TGTATAACATCTACTAAAAACGCAAAAGCCATTGGTAAATATATATATGTTTTGGGGATATGAAAATCTAAACCTTCTGCTACTAATGAAATACCTATTATCATTAAAAAACACAAAGCTAATATTTTAAACGATGGATGTTTTGTAATAAAATTCATTATTGGTTTTGAGGCAAAAAGCATTATTATTACTGTTATAATAACTGCTGTGTACATTATCCATAATTCATCGACCATACCTACTGCTGTAATTATAGAGTCAATAGAAAAAACCATATCTAATAATAAAACGTCCGCTAATAATGATTTAAAACTTACATTTTTTGGTACTGGGGGTAAATCATGTTCGGGGTCTTCTGTTTTTTCGTAAATTTCTTTAACGCTTTTATAGAATAAAAATATACCTCCGACTATTAAAATTAAATCTTTACCACTTATTTCCTGTCCTAATAAATCAAATAAAGGTTTTTGAAGTTTCATTATCCATGCAATAGCAGTTAATAAGATTAATCTCATAACCATTGCCATACCAATACCCCAATATCTTAATTTATCTCTTTGGTCTGGCGGTAATTTATTAGCAAGTATTGAAATAAAGATAATATTATCTATACCTAAGATTACTTCCAAAGCTATTAGAGTGAGCAATGGTACTATAGCTTCTATAATAACTTCCATGATTTTTTTATTTTAAATAAATTTTTTATTCACTTTTGTTTTAAGATATTTAGTTACAAAACACTTAAAACAAAAATGAATAAATCTTTTTTATTTTAATAATATTAAAGCCAAGTTACTTTTCCTGACTCTAAATCATAAACTCCTCCAACTATTTTAATTTTACCTTCTTTTTCGAGTTTACTTAAGGTAGGTGAATTTTTTCTTAAATCAGCAATAGTATTTAAAACATTTTGATTAGTTGCATTCTTTAATAGTTCTTTATCATGTGAATCTCTTTTCTGCCCTGGTTTTAAAACTTGATTAACTGCGGGTTGAATTTTATCTAAAAGATTGTGTAAAGCTACCATTCCTAAACCCTTTGCATCTGTTTGGTCAATAGCATGTTTGACAGCACCGCAAGAAGTATGCCCCAAAACCACAACTAATTTAGCACCAGCTACAGCTGTTCCGAATTCAAAACTCCCTATAATATCTTCATCCTCAATATTTCCAGCCACTCTCCCTACAAATAAATCTCCTATTCCCTGATTAAATACAGTTTCAACAGGAACTCTACTATCTAAGCATGATAATACAACTGCCTTTGGATATTGACCTTTTGAAGTTTCCTTTGCCTCTTTTAGATAATCTTCATTTGAATAATTTCCTGTTGCAAAGTTTTCATTTCCATTTTTTAGATCACTCAAAACTTGATCTGGTGTTAAGGCTTTTTGTTCATCTTCTGTTACTACATCAAAAGATCTATCCTTTGATTCAGTAGTATTTGTGTTTGTTTCAGTTTTGTTGCAACTTATTGCAGTTAAACCTCCCACCATTAAAATTGTTAAAAATAATTGTTTCATTGTTTTAAATTTTTAAGTTAATATTTTTAAAATAATAGTATTACTATCATTTTGCAAATATATTTAATTATTTTTAAATTCCAAATAAATAATAAAAAAAAACATTTATAAAAAAATGTTAATAAAAATAATTTGGTTATAATAAAAATTAGTTATAAGTTCTTCAAAAAAATAAATGATTTATATTGACATTTTAAGTTATTGAGGTATTTATTGATTAGTCTTTATGGATAGTTCTGGCAAGCATCCCGAAATATCAGGATTAAAACAAGCTATTCAGAAACCGACTAATAAGGTTAGCTGACCAAATGAAAGGTAAAGGGAAGGTTCAAAAATCCACATTAGGATTATAAAACCAATAAATTACGCCCACGACTTCAGAAATGAGTAAAATAAATTCATTTATTTTTTATCAAGTTAAAAACATTAATTAAAATATTATAATGATACCAAAAAAAAATCTTTATTTGCTATTTGTATATTATCATTTAGTTACTTATGGCTATCTTCACAAGACGTTTGTACACCCAATGTAGCTGCAATGCCTTCTCCTGCATTGATAAATTACAGGTTAATTTGGCATAGCCAAACAGCCACTACATTAAATGTACAAAAAGTACGAAACAATATCAATGATTGGACAGCAGGAGGGGTGGTTAATAGACCCATAGCAGATGGAGAATCTATCACATTTAGATCAAATAACGGCATTAAAGCAGTAGGTCTAGCTGTGATGAGACCTCCAAATATGGATATATGGAGACAACCACACAGCATTGAGTATGGATTTTATTTTGACAGATGGGCAGGAAAAGTATATCCTATGGAATCAAAATATTCTGCAGGTACACGCATCAATTATGATAGTGAAGGAAGACCATGGAATGATAATTCTGTATTTAAAATTAAAAGAGTATGTAACAAAGTATATTATTATATGGATGACATACCATTCTCTCATGTAGGAACAATAGACCACAGCAAAGATTTATATTTTGAGATGGATTTTAGAGACATCCTAGGTTGGGTATATGATATCACTATTTTTGAAGCATGTGGTACTCAAGAATGTTCAAAAACTCCTACTTTTGCACAAATAAATCCCATCTGTACAGGCGGAGCGGTTTCATTACCAACAACCTCTACCAATGGTATAACAGGAACTTGGTCACCTGCGGATAATGTAATCTGTCAGGATGAAAGCATTACTCTTACCTCAAGTGCAGATACCGGAAATTTATGGAGTACAGGAGAAACTACAAAAAGCATTACAGTAAAACAAAGTGGTATATACAGTGTACAGGTAACTCAAAATGACTGTGTCTCTAAATCCTCTGGGGTGCAAGTAACTGTGAATGCCCTACCACTTATATCCATATCCGGAAATACCACCATCTGTTCTGGTCAAACAACGACCTTAACAGCAACCGGAGGAACTTCTTATAAATGGAATACAGGAGCTACTACTCAAAGCATCAGTATAGGTACTGCGGGTACTTATACCGTAACAGTTACAAATGCATCAGGCTGTTCAGCATCAGCATCAAAAGCTATTACAGTAGCAACATTACCAACAGCGACCATTACCGGAAACTCTACTGTATGTTCCGGTCAGACAACAACATTGACTGCAAGTAATGGTAGTTCTTATTTGTGGAGTACCGGAGGAACAGGTCAAAGCATCAGTGTAGGTACTGCGGGTACTTATACCGTAACAGTTACCAATGCATCAGGCTGTTCAGCATCAACATCAAAGATGGTTCTTTACCCTATACCTGTTTCAGATTTATTAAATATAGATGCAAAAGATAATAACGATTATTATTATCAAATATATGATATGTTTGGACAAATGGTAAAAGTAGGCAAATTTGTAAACAAACAAACTGATTTATCTTCTCTTGCATCTGGTACTTATTTAATAAGAATCAATGACTCCCAAGAGGTTGTGAAAATAATTAAAAAATAAAATCTAACTATTATTATATAAAACCGCCAAAAAAGGCGGTTTTTTTTGTATATTTACAATAAAAGAAATAATGAATTTAATTTATTATAATTCATAATTGCTGTAAATAAGTTATTTTACCATGATTAAATTATTCATTTAATTTATAGCTCAAATATATAACTTTTTTTAATCAACCAAATTATTGGGCTATTTATTATATAAAAATGAGATTATTTAAAAATTAATAAAAGTCAAAGATAAAAATAAAATATCAATAAAAACTAATAGAATACACTACAAATCATAATGAACCTCTGAGATTTCGATATATTTTTCATATCCGTATCCCCACATGAAATTAACATCGGAAATCATAAATTTTAATAACAGTTTTTATCATAAAATTTTATTTCAATCGGCAACTTGGGTTAAAAATATTTTGTTGCATTCTTAGGGATGTAGTATCTATGCTTTGAGTTTTAGGACTGTATTGTAGTCAGTCTTTTTCCCGAAATACGGTATAATTTTCTTTGCTATCAACCTTTTACCACCAATCATTTAACTATCTTTTAAAAACTGATTAAATCGTGTTTATTAAATTATTATTTATTTAGTAAATGATTAATTTTTTTTAAAATATTTGGTTTTACAATATAAGTTTTACAGTATTTATTGTTTAATGACATACTAAAATTCATACTTGTTCCCCATACTCCCATTCTATCTTGGAAATCCCTAAAGTTTGGAGTTAAATTAATTAAGCATAAAGCATTTCTTTTCAGTGATTGAAGGAAATTAGGAGAATTACACTCATCGTTTATAACTTTTAAGTTAAAAATTTTCTTTCCAAAAGTTGTTCCATAAATAGTTTCTAATAAAGAATTTAACAATATTACAAGGGGTATTGAAAATAGAAAACTTAATACAATATTAAAATGAAAATATAAGATAAAAATAAAAAAAAAAGTGCTAAATCAATAAGTTTAGCAAAAAGCCTTTCCCTTTCAAAGCCTGGCAAACTTTTATAGAATAATAGGTCAAACTCCATTTCTTCATATATTCTATTTCCAAACTTATCAAAATTTCTTGTTGGTCTATGAATTTTTTTCTTTTCTATTATTTCAGAAATTTTCAAATTTATTTTATATTCATTATTTCGTCAATAAACCTTAAAGCTAAATCATCTGCTTCTTTTTGAGTATTTGCCTCAGTATAAATTCTTATTATAGGTTCAGTATTGGACTTTCTAAGATGTACCCAATAATATGGGAAATCTATCTTTAAACCATCAGTTGTATTAATAATTTCTGATTTATATTTTATTTTTAATGTTTCTAATATTTTGTCAATATCAAAACTTGGAGTTAATTCTATTTTATTTTTCCCCATATAATACTGAGAATATTTTTGACGTAATTTTGATACTGTTATATCTTCTTCAGCAATTAAGCTTAAAAAAAGTGCTATTCCTATTAAGGCATCTCGGCCATAATGAAAATTTGGCACTATAACACCTCCATTACCTTCACCACCGATTACAGCATTTACTTCTTTCATTTTTTCTACTACATTCACCTCACCAACTGCTGAAGTAAAATACTCAACACCATGCTTTTTGCTAATATCTCTTAATGCCTTTGTTGACGAAAGATTAGAAACTGTATTTCCTTTTTTATGTGTAAGGATATAATCGGCAACAGCCACTAATGTATATTCTTCACCAAAAGGAATACCTTGTTCATCTACAAATGCTAATCTATCAACATCTGGATCAACAGCAATACCAATATGTGCTTTTTGTTGTTTCACTTCGGCACACAACATAGACAGATGCTCTGGAAGTGGTTCAGGATTATGTGCAAATTTGCCAGTTGGCTCACAATACAATTCATGTATTTGTTCGACACCTAAAGCTTTTAATAATTTAGGAACAGCAATACCACCTACACTATTTACTGCATCAACTACTACTTTTAGTTTTTTTGCTTTGATGGCATCAACATTTACAGCAGTAATTTTAAGAATTTCTTCAATATGGTAATCTAAATAATCTTTATGAGCAACAACACCTAATTTATCAACTTCTACAAATTCAAATTTACCAGAATTGGCACGTTTTAAAACATCTTGACCTACTTTTTCGGAAATAAATTCACCTTTGCTATTCAATAATTTTAAAGCATTCCACTGTTTGGGATTATGAGAAGCAGTAATGATAATTCCACCATCAGCATTTTCAGCAACTACAGCCATTTCTACTGTTGGTGTTGTAGCCAAGCCTAAATCAATCACATCTAAACCAATGCCTAATAAATTTCCAACAACAATGTGATGTACCATTTCGCCAGAAATACGTGCATCTCTGCCGACAACAATTTTTTTTGCATCTTTTAATTTAAGAATAGTACCAAATGCTAATGAAAATTTTGCAATGTCAATTGGAGTCAATGCATCGCCTGATTTTCCACCGATTGTACCTCTGATGCCTGAAATAGATTTAATTAATGCCAAAGTTTATAAATTTTTGTGTGGCAAATGTATACAATTAACGCTTATGAATAAGAATTAAAAACAATAACAGTTGTTAAAATAACAATTAGGTAAAAAAATAGTGTAACTACCACTCCGAAATCAGCATTTTCGGTCTTTACCTTTTCCATAATTTCAGAAAGGTGTTCTTCTAATGGTTCTGGGTTATGAGGGAATTCACCATTAGGGTCACAATAAATTTCAATAACTTCGCATCCTAATTTTTTTAAAATTAATGGAACTGAAATTCCACCAGTACTGTTAACAGAATCTACCACAACTTTAAATTTTTTATTAATAATGATATTTTTTTGAATCAAAGGATAATCTAAAATTGCATTTATATGTTCTTCAATAGCAGTTTCATATAGTTGATATTTCCCTAAATCATCAACTTTTGCGAATTCAAAATCCTTATTTTCAATAATTTCTAATAATAATGCACCATCTTTAGCAGAAATAAATTCGCCTTTAATATTTAAAAGTTTTAATGCGTTCCATTGTTTTGGATTATGGCTGGCTGTAATAATAATACCACCATCTGCTGATAATTTTGGAACCATAAACTCAACTGTTGGAGTTGTAGAAAGTCCTAAGTCTATAATATCTATTCCTAAACCCTGTAAAGTAGAAGATACTAATTGAGAAACCATCTTACCTGAAATACGAGCATCACGTCCAATTATTACTTTTAATTTCTTTTGTTTACTCTTAATTTTTAACCAACTACCATAAGCAGATGCTAATTCTACTATATCAATTGGAGTCAAATTATCAGCATATCTACCCCCAATAGTACCCCTAAAACCTGAAATACTTTTTATTAAAGACATTTATATATTATATTACTTAATTCGGCAAACTTAATTAAATTATTCATTATGATCGAATTCTTTTGAAGATTTTATATTGTTTGTTACTGAAATGGTTTGATGAAATATAGTAAAAAAATGTATAATAATTTTTTTTACATTTTGATTATTAATAAAATCTATTTTTTAAATAAGTTAATCAAAAAAAATGAATAAAACTTGTTTTATTTATAGAAATTTTTCGACTTGCCAAGATTGAAACTAAAAACCCTATTACACAAACTGATACAATCACAATAAAATAATTTGACATTTCAAAAGAAACTGGGAAAGGAGTTAATGGATTTGCTTTTACCACACTAAATGTTTTTTGAATATAAGTTATTATTGACCCAAGTATAAGTCCTATGATCATACTTGTAAATGTTATTAAATAACCGATATACAAAAATGTTAATTTTAAATTTTTTATATCAAAACCTAATGAAATCAATGATTTTGACTGTTGTCTTTTTTCTAAAATTATAATAATTATGGTTCCTGCTAATGTAAAGGAAGAAATTGAGATAACTAAAATAAATATTAATATAATAAATAATTTTTCTATTTTCATCATTTTTATCAGAGAAGGGTCCTGTTCCTGTCTATCTTGTATATTATATTTTTCTCCAAATTTATTTAATAAATCATTTTTAATATCATTGATATTTTTTGTAGAATCTATTTTAATATAAATCTGATATGCTGAATTTTTAGGAATATCGAGTAATTCAATTCCTAATTCAATAGGTGAGAAAATATAATTTGAGAAATTTTCATTAATGTAAAAAACCCCCGTTGTATAAACTTCTTTCTTAGAAAAAGCATCATCTTCTGATTTTATTAGACCTTCTCCTTTTTTGGGCAAATATATTAATGAATATTCTGTATCGCTAATAGGTATGCCAAGTCTGTAACTTATTTCGTCTGATATTACTATTTCATTAGTATAAATATAACTTAATGAGTTTTCAAAAATAATTTGTTTATCAAGAGGGAATACTTTATTGAAATTTTCATCTACTGATTTTAAAAATACAACTTCATTTTTATCTTGATAACTAAGGTATACTTTTTCTTCAATTATTTTTGAAAAAGCCTCTATATCTTTATTTTTTGATAATTCATTCTCAATTTTATATATGTCAGAGATTAATTTTCCTTTTTTTGGAGTTATTTTTAATTCAGGATTTATATTTGATATTAATTTAATATTCATGTCCTCCAATCCTGAAAATACTGATAAAAACAATATCATTGCAGCGGTTGCAAATGTCAAAGCGATTATTGATACCCACATTATTATTCCTACTGCTTTTATTTTTTTCTTAGCAATTAAATATCTTTTTGCAAGATATAAAGGAACATTATTCATCAACTATAAAAAATTAATTTGCTAATATAATTATATTTTTGAAATACATCATCTTTATCAAAAATTTATTTATTAAATACCTGATATTTTTTACTAATTTATTAACCCAAGTTGCAATCTCTAAAAGGATTGTTGATTATTATTTATAAAAATACTATATATAAACACAAGTAAATTTGATTTTATTACCTTACAATAAAAGATAGTTGTTGAATATTTATCAAGAGATAAAACTAAATGATACTTGTGCTATTTCTAAAAGTTTAATAGTCGTTTTCCAATTTCTTGTTGTTGCACCAACTTTTAGTTTTGTTTCCAAAAATCGATTATTCAATTTTGACTTCCCATATCCAATAGGACAATATAAATATACAGCATTGTCTGAAATTGATATTTCTTCTTCGTCTAATTTTTTTTCTTCAATTATGTTGATATCATTTTTTTTTGGTTTTGCAGATAAAAAAGTAACGTGAAAAAATTTTTCATTCTTTTCGTTATTTTTTAAAAAAGGATTATTATCAATTATTTGTTTCAATTTGTCAATAGTCAAAACTATAATAGGAACAACTAAACCAAAATCTATCTCAATCTGTTGTTTTATTATTAATTCAAGGTCATCAAGTTTTGATTTATGTCCATTAAAAATAACATTTCCACTTTGTATATAAGTCGTAACGTTATGAAAACCTAAACTTTCAAAAGACTTACGTAAATCATCCATTTTAATAAGTTTTTGTCCGTTTACATTAATTCCTCGTAGTATTGAAATGTATGTTGTCATTTTGTTTATTTTACTGAGATATTGCTAAAAATTATTAAATATTACTCATTATACTAAAATAATTTTCATATGTTATTATTACATGATCTAATAAAGTAATTGAAAGCAATTCTGATGCATTTTTTATTTTTTCTGTTATGTTAATATCACTTTCACTTGGTTTTAATATGCCAGATGGATGATTATGAGCTACTATTATAGCTGTAGAGTTTTTTTCAAGAGCTATTTTAAAGACTAACCTAATATCTACGGCTGAAAAAGTCATGGCTCCTAATGAAAGTCGTTGATAATGAATTAATTTATGAGAATTATTTAAACAAAGTATCCAAAATTCTTCTATTTCTGAATGCCCTATTATTGGTTGTAAAAGATCAAACACTTTATTAGGTGTGTTATAAGTTTCTTTAATAGGTACAGCCTGAAGATTTTTTCTTCTTGCTATTTCAAGAACAGTGTAGATAGTAATGGCTTTTGCTACCCCTATTCCCTTGAATTTCATTAAATCTTTAATAGAAAGCTTAGAAAGATTATGCCAATTATTATCTACACTTTTTAATATTTCTTTTGCTAATTCAAAAGCAGATTTTTTTATAGTTCCACTTCCAATTATTATTGTTAATAATTCAGTATCCGACAAAACACTCCCTCCTTTTGCAATTAGCTTTTCTCTTGGTTTGTCATCATCAGACCAATTTTTTATTGTACTCATAAACTAAAAAGCTAATTATT